AAAAAAAACACAATAATCTTGATATACTTATACAGGTCATGCTCCTTGACTTATAACATTCAGCAAAATGAAGAAAATACATTTAAAAATCAATAAGTGCTCGGCAGGAAATTTCATCAAGTTGCAATTGGGGAAACAATCGCTGTAACACTGGATACACGGGTCCTTTTCTTCTAAAGATCACACTCCTCCCTCTGCATCCCGCTCTGCATGCAATCCTTCTAAGAATACAGATAAACAGACGACGTCACTGCCCACGATATTATCGGTAGGAGGAATCGATGCCTCTTGGGCGCGCGCTGTCTAAACAAACTAACCGACAAGGTGATATTCAAACTTCATCAAACATCCCCTCTGGACCTGCTTTAAACCAAGAAAGATGATCCTCTTAAACTAGTACCGAGAAATAGATGCCTGCTTTACCTAATAATAGTAAGCGTGTGTTAGCTATCTATATGACATGGACAATCGTCTTAGATTTGAATTAGATTTTATGTTCATTTCACCCAAGATTGGGCTGTTGTTTTCAAAATCTGTTTCTGTTAATTTTATCATGTTTATGATATGTTTACAAATTCCTTATCTATCTGCTCTTAACCTCCTTCCTGTTCAGCCCATTGACTACTGGAATCGAGTGGTCCCTGTGTTATGCATATGGGAAATAGAGAATTCAATATTCAACGGGTTAACAGTGCTAATCCCGGGGCAGTTGTAACGTGTGGGCGGGGTGGGGGAGGCACTCTAACGAATTTGAGAGCTTTATTTGTAGAAAGGGGCACCTCTGTACACAAGCATCCTAAACCATTATGGATATAACTCTTGGCCAATTTCATAATTTTGTATAACTCCGGCAGTGAAGCGATAAATTTTCTATGAATTTGTTGACCTTGAGGGAGTGCAATTGAGCCTTACGAACGAATGGAAAGAGTAGTTATCATGCTTATCTTTTTTTTTTTTTTTTTTTTTTTTTTTGTTGTTGTTTGTTTGGGGGGGGGGGGGGGTAAACGTTGCTTTGTAATTCTACTAAATCCATGTCATGTCATGTAACGACATAGTTATTATATCTTATCATCCTGCTGTCTAAGCGGTGCGGGATCCGTGGATCCGGCGGTTATATTGGCATACTCATTAAGAAACACGCGGTGTGATCTCATATCGCATAAAGGGCATGATCAATAGAATGCGAAACGACTACTTGTTTATTTCAAAATGACAGAGTCGATCGGTGTCTTCCATCGATTGAAGATATAAAATTGGATTCTTGTCTTAGTTGCCCTCAAGACATGGAGAGAAAAAGAGAATGAAATGCATCTCGTGATTTTTCTTATCATCCCTCGCTTTAATCAATCGGCTTTGTAAACAGGTGCGACCGAAAGAAAACGGCGAGTTTTATTGATTGTATCAGTACTTCTACGAATAGTTCCATTGAACAGGATATAGCTACGGTATTTTCAACTGGAGGAGAGATAATGAAACTAGAATTGAATTGATTAAAATGTTTATTGTAAAAGAAAATAAATCATCTTTATTGATAATGTATTATGTTTGAGAGTTAAACATTGTTTGATCTCAATACAAAGTTTACCCCCTATCCACGTTTTGCTATTTTGTAACGATTGTAAGAAGAAAGTGTCAATTCAGTTCAACATTGAAATTCGATAGAATTTTTAAAAGCTTCAGTGTTTTATCTTTGTATATCTTTATTTCGTCTTTGGCTTCTTCTTCTTCTTCTTCTTCATCTTCTTCTTCTTCATCTTCTTCTTCTTCATCTTCTTCTTCTTCTTCTTCTTTTTGTTTAATCTTGAACAAAAATCAAGGTGTTAACATTTTGGTTACGCTGCTCCACATGTGTCAAAATGGAAAGCTGTACTATGCGTTCAAACAACTGTGCCGTATGGTTCAGCGAATTCATACATTGAGTCTATTCGCGGTGTAGAATATATTACATCCGCACTAACACATCCAAGGAAAATGAACTCCATAAATATATTGAATGACCTTTCATACCCACCCACCCCCGCCCCCAGTCTCTTGTTATGTCTTCTTTTTCTGTCTCGCTCTCCCCCTTTACTTGATACGTTCTTCCTTTCTCTCCCTCTCCTCTATTATACACATTATGTTTTTCTATTCCTGAGTGGAGCCTACATAATATTCTTTCTATGAACTTGCTTAAGTCATATCATAAAACCTTTATTTTTCCACATCCATTACCCACTTTTAGCCTATGATATGTTTCACTAAATCATTGAGTTATTAATGTAAATATGTATTACTATTATGGAAATAAAAACCTCGCTTGAGGATAAGATAATTTTTACCCACTTTCGTTATCCAACCATCAATATTCTTTGATCTAAGATGTACCTACTGTTTTGTTATGAATTAATGACTTTTTAATACTATTGTCTTTTGTGCAGCATCCTTGTGTTATTATTTATGTAAATTGCACTCAATTCAGCCGCTAAGGCTGCCATGTTTAACTTCTTTTTAATACCACAATAACTGAATAAATATACAATTGGATATAGTAGATTCAAATTGATTGATGAAGTCATCTCTGCCATTTCTATCAATATGACTTTTGTATGGGAGAATTAAGTTGAATTGTGAAAAATTAATCAGAGTGACTTTTAAACGTAATCCTTTTCATATTGGATGGCAGTATTGTAATATGCAAACATTATAAATACATTACCTTGCCACTCGTAACCCCATAACAAATAACAGGGACTTTCTAATTTCAATGAATTTGAATAATATTTGTGGAATGATGTATCGCCTTTCAGACCCACGATATCTCCAAGCGCTTTAAGCATTATCACCCCAGGGCTGCATGGAATCTAATTCTCGGGCCTGGAATCCCCCTGACTTTGGGTATCTGCAAATCAAAGCGATACAAAGGGGCAATATAAATATTGTCCCTCCCTGGAATCGTAAACAAATCGTACTCTATTCCAAACTTTACTAAACACATTACACATTTTCTATGGAACGCTAACTTTCTTATTTGTCAATATCAGGGACTTTTAGATTTGCACGTCGACATAGTGGACTGCTACGTGTGATGTCATTTAAGGCACTGTGACGTCCTTTTAAGGCATTGCCATACCTTAAAATGACGTCATACGTAGCAGTCCACTATGTCGACGTGCAAATCTAAAAGTCCCTATTATCTGATGTCGAGGATCAGGACTCGGATCAGAACAGATACAGAGTCAGAGTCATCTGATTCAGGCTTGTCCGCGCACACAATATATCCACATTCTCCTCTCCCTAGGGAACATTCCAGTCAGGCGTCAGTTTACAGACCTGCACAATGCCGACCAAACTAACATGACGTAAGCATCCTACAGGATACCTTTTGTAAACCTGGGTAGAGAGAAGCAGGAGAAGCAACATTACCGACGAACCCGGGACTTCATTTTATGGAGTGTCTATGGTAGATTGTAACATACTGGCATTGTACATGCATACATGTTACTCGCGAGTGGTAAACAGTACGTAATAAAGAGATTTGTGCAAGAATATTGAATATTACTGGCATGTTCAGAAGTTGATTTTGGAGAAAAAAAGGAAACATTTCTACTGTTTTGCTTAGCTTCAAAAGGTTAAAAGGGGCTGGAGAGGGAGTGGGGGGGGGGGGGGGGGGGGGGGGGGGGGTAATGCCTACTTCATCCATTGCTCTAGACACACTGCTGTATATTACACCGGTCTGTTCATAGGCATCTGTGGGCGTTTTCCGGAGGGCAAGTCAATAACATCTCTTCTTGAGGGGTGTTCGATGTTGATTAAGAAACGTATAAATGTGAGAAAATAAGAAGGCTGGACGCACAAACATTCCTGTAATGAATGCTACTTCCAACCCGCCCCTGATTGCAAATGCATACCTTGCTTGCAAAACCTCGTAGAAGAGGGGAACATATCCTTAAATGAGTTGTTCTCTTTGAATATATGACTTTTGACCGGCGTTTTCATGTCTCCGTCATACTGAAGACTACTTTAGTGTCATTCACAGTAATACATTCATAGATTATAACATGTAAATGGCGTGTAAAATAAAAGACTACATCATCGCGACGGATAGCCACTTTGTTTGTTCTTCAAATTGTCCCATCTTAATAGCAAGATGGGGTCTTTCCACCTGAAAAGGATTGTCTTCTATTGAAGCATACTATCCTATCAGAACAGGTAGACTAAACCTACTTCAATCAAACACCTTCTCAGTACTCGCGCGGGGAATGAACCATTAAATGCTCGCCACGTATCTAATTGCTATCATGTCACTGTATTATGCAGTCACGTACGTTTGAAAGCATAACACAAAAAGTAAACACAATCTTTGCCCAATTGCGTCAATTATAATCCGTCATCTGTCGTCTGTCATCTCTTCTGTTTTTATATTTTTATTACGATGGGTGATTGACCATTGCACTCGATTTCTATGTTTTATCTCTTTTTCTGTTGGTACTTTTATTTTAGACAGAATTTGCTATCGTAGTAACACCCAATCTTGAAATTCTCAATCTGTTGGATAATTATTATTTCATATCTTCTGAAATCGAAAATTACAATGCAATTCCTCTTGTTTCTTTCTCACCTTTCGCTATCTCAATATTTCACCCCCCCCCCTTCTAAGCCTGTCGATACGCGGAAAATGTTAAGAGACTCTCTCTCTCTCTCTCTCTCTCTCTCTCTCTCTCTCTTCTTTCTCACGCTCACTCTTTCCCTTCCTCCCTCCCACTCTATCTCCCTGGCATATTAATTGTGTCCTTAAGTTTTAGCATACACCCATCTTTACTTCCGGGTGTTTTTTCTTTATGTCAGATATTTCTCTGCTAATAATCGTACTAACAAATGAGCACGCATGCGCAGTGCATATCGTGTTCTCTGATTGATGGAACCGTGATGCACGCATGCGCACGGGTACACATCATCTACAGACATATCACGAACCATTTACCTTTTCATTTAACACCAGACGGTTGCACAGGCGAAAAAAAGAGCGCGCAAACTTCAATAGAAAATCTGCAACCGCCTGTTCTTCCATCTCAATCTATACTTGGATATAAGACGAGATTGAAGCCAAACAAAAGGAGAAGGAACGCTGATTCGGAAGACTTATTGGGCTTAACAGCAAAGGAAATGTGAGTATATTATGAGTATTTTGAACGGTTGTCTTGCTTCGGTACTTTAAAAAAATTTGTTAATTATCATTTTCGAAATGACGAATTAGGGTTTGATAATATTGGAGTTTATGCTACCCCTTTTTATCTTTGAATATAATTTCCATATATTGCATTTGGTTATAAACCGTTTTCTTGAGCAAAATTATTGCAAAACAGATTTTGTTACTTGGAGGAGAACAGCATACACTGTTATAGTTGCCTAATTCATATTATCTACTTCAGAAAAAAAAGCAAAGAGAAGAAAATATTGACGTTTTTGTTTCACTTGATTTAAGCAGTTAACATTTTGATTACAAACACAGTTAAAGATTGTTATTGCCATCAAGGCCTTGATAATAGGTGACTCTCAAAAAAAAGGACCTGATTTAAGCACAAATCTAAAAAAATTAGGCTCAGAAAATTACCTAGGCAATAATGTTATTAACTTGACTAAATGTGAAGGACCTACACGGCTCTGATATGAATGGTTAGCTCTTGGTAAGCCTTAAGGGCACCGTACGTAGACAATCTGATTACGATTCCCCATTCGAAAGAATTTGCAATAGGATTTTGTATGGACATTCAAACTTCGAAAATCTTAACAGTCATGACTTGTGATTAATAAAATTTAAATTTCAAGGGATATCAAGCTTCCTTGGAGGAGGAAGTGACGTAGTGACGTCATACCAGTAGAGCGATTGTCTACGATCCGAATCTGATTCGGCTTTAATTATTCTGGCAAGAAGACTTAAATGCACTACTAAATTCCAGTCGTTGTATTCTTATGATTCAGGAAGCTAATGTTCTCTTAGATTTCCGTATCAAATATAATTGCAATTTCTTCGAAAATCGGATCGCAAGAAGATCGTATAGTGTGCGATGGGCTTAGCAATCTTTTTTTTTTTAAATTTCTCTACCTTAAGTTAAAAAAAAAAGAAGATATGTACGCTTTTTGTTTAAACTTCAGAATTAATAAGTAAATTGGAGATGCATTTTCTTCTACACATAATTGTAAATGGATCAGTGGTTATTGACTACTTTTCTGATCTAAATTTGCTTATTTTTGCTTTCGACACGATCGCAAAAATTTCCAACAAATCAAGGGCAATTCCATCACCCTATAGTACATCCGATAGAAATCAAGTTCAGATTATGTGATACGTCATCGTAATGGTCACACATTTCAATAGGTGTCGCACAAGGCCAGTGACATTGCCTTAGGTTGAGCTTTCGAAAGTAGTTACTATCGTGTTTGTCGAGCTTATTAAAATGGAGTCGCCCGTATCGTAAATATATAGTATAGCCCAGTCAAAGTAAAGATGAAAGAAAGACGCAAGCACCTGCAAACGGCCAGTTTTCTTCGTATCTCCTCTGGGTACAAAATAGTATACTAGTGGCCGATCTACGCAATATTTCAAATGAGGTGATATTGAAAACGAGAGAGGAGGCTGTTGTCCTTTCATTAGTAAAGAGGTATAGACATTTTCTTGATTGTAATGAAAAATATGACGCATCTAACTTTCATTTTTTTCTCCTATCAATGCAAATTTGTCATTACTTACATGATTGATTACTTATGTGATTGATTTTACTGATATGATCAAATATTCATAATTTGATATCAAAATCATCCCCGAGAGTAGTTGACAGCTGAGTATATGGACGGAAAGAAAAGTGAGATGTAACTTTACAAAATTAAACAGAACAACAACAACAACAACAACAACAACAGCCCCTTCCCCCCCCCCCCCCCTCCCCCCCCAAAAAAAATACTACTTTGAAGTTTACCAAATGGAGGTCTGTTCTGCTTTTTTATATTCATCTGTATGTTTTCTTTCAGTTTATGTATTATCATTAAGAGACTCGACCATCATTTTTAAAATCGATCTATAATTCATTATAAACACGAGCAGTTTTTCTTATCAAATCCACATAGTAGGCAAAAGATCAAAGCACCAAGGCTTTACAAAAATCGTTGTCTTGTTTATTTGTTTCTTCGTTTTTTTCTTCACTTCTTCAAAATAACTAAAGTGAAAATAGCATTAAAACCCGCGACAAATATGTACCAGTTTCTTTCTATATTTGTATACCGGCTATTCCAGCTAGATCTAGGTCGAAGGCTTTTACATAATCTTTTGGAAATTGAAGATTAATTCAGCACCACGAACAGCAATAAAGTGAGAAAACAGGTTCGTCGTTCAATGCATTTTAAATTAGTTGTTATTTGGTGCAGGATGAGCATATCCCTCCTCTCTTCTCCTGCCCTCTCCTCAGCCATCTTTAATTTTACCCGTATCTCATTTTGTTGCGAAAAGTCACCAAGCCCCCCCCCCCTCCCACCCAGCCTCGGCCTGAAATATTATCAAAATTATAAAGAATAATAACAATTAAATTCATTTATTTTGTGAATACATCTATAATGTTTGTGTAAGGCTTGGTTTGAGAATCCCTTCTTCTTCTACTTCATATAATATGTCTTCTAATTTAATTTGTTATGTTGTACTCTAAAAACAAAACGTTGTAAATGCGGTTGATAGGGGTGATTTGAAATGCGAAGAATTTTATTTTTTTAGGGATGACATTTCTTTGATACCTTAACAGTAAACACAGATAAAGATAAGATTATATTGACGTATTGAATCATGAATGAATTGATTTAAGAATGCCGACAGAAAATGATTTATTGATTCATACTGAAATTATGATTCCTTCGGATCAGAAAAGGAAAAAAGAAAGTTTAAAGGTGGAGAATGAGTGGTCCCGATTCAGGACAAGCTAATCCTGTCGAAAGGAATGGTGGTGTTACCGTAAACTTCGCTTAGATATGTGCATTTTAATTTAGATTGTTTTAACATTATAAAATCAGCATAATATACCGACGTCGGCACATAGTCAGCTAGCGAGAGAAGGAGATTCCAAGGTATGCCGGAGGGATGGAATACTAAACTCTTCGCTCTTATTGCCTCTCTATGAATCATGAAAGCGTAGGTTCACTTAGAAGTGTTATTATAACATATATTTACATACATGTATATTAAAGTACACAATTCAACTACAACTATGTCTCTCTCTATCTCTCCCCTCTCTCTCTCTCTCTCTCTCTGTCCCTCTCTCTACCTTAATCTCTCTGCTTATTCCATCTCCAATGTCAATCTGTCTCTCGTATCTCTATTTTACATTGTATATTGTGATATTGCGATATTCAATCTTATAGATAAAAGAAATTGAAGAAAATAAGAATATGCATGCGTTATATCAACATTAAATAGACTTTCAATATTTAGGCTCCTCCTCTTCATCTTTTGTTTGATAACAAGTTTTTAATTTTATTTGTTATTGAAAAAAGCAAAAGTTAAGTGATAACACGATTTAAAGGAATTGAACGATTAATACGTTTCATAACGACGATAAAGAAGCACTTGATTGATTCTTAGGTATATTATATATTTTTTTTTAAATCGGAGAGTGCTGAGTATTATCGGACCTACTTTAGTAGGATCTTACTTACTTAAAGAAAACTTTGTGTAACCAAAGTAATCTCTCGGGCAATATCAATCTAAAAATGCTGATCTATAACGAAGATTAATCCGGTAATCTATAAAGTGTATCTTACTGTAATGATATCTGAGTAATGGAAATAATTAGCCGATAGCCCAAAGGGCTTTGGTTCTTATCCACTATTACCGTCTTGTCTTTACATTATTCATTGCATGAGATTATACTGATTTTACAGCTATGATCTGGTGAATTCTCCATTCCAAACCCCTTCCGCTTTTAAAAATATTATATTTAATCACGGGATAACAACAACAACAACACTTATAATAACCATACGTCTTGTTTACCTAGGGTATCCTCATCAGTATTAATGCTGTTTTCTTTGAGGGCATATTATTATCCCGGCCTGAGGTACCATGAAAAGGCGTTCAAGGATTCAAAGAATTACTTCCTACTGGGTACCAATTTACTTGATGGATATTTGAACCCCTTTTTTAAAAGAATGATTGACATTCTATGGGCATCGTTTTTTACTGTTGTTGGTTAACGGTGCTCCCCACCCCCCCCCCCACCTGAAAAAAAAAAACCCTGAAGAGATGTCGACGATATTATTTCAAATTTTACTTCATTTTTTAGGTATTTGAACATCTCTTGTGATCATCAGAATTGCACTTGTAAAAATACGACATAATAGCAAAGATGAAGCAAAACCGCACTGATTCATATTCCATATGTAGTCAATTGGTGTATTTCTTCAATGGATAGTATATTTCTGATTTCTTTGGATCACTGTGAATAGTTTGTTTTTTGTCCGTAGAATATTTTATGTTGGATTGAGAAAAGATTCAAACCCAGGGGCGAATCTACGGAGGGGGGGGGGGGGGGGGTGGGGTATGAGGTTTAATCCCCCTTGTCACTGGCGTACCTATGGGGGGGCAGGGGGGCAGAGTGCCCCCCTGACGGGCTCCAGGGGAAAAAAAGAAAAAGGGGAAAGAAAAGAAAAGAAAGGAAAGGAAAGAAAAAGAAAAAAGGAAAAGGGAAGAAAAAAGGAAAGAAAGAGAAAAAAGGAAAAAAAAGGAAAGAAAAAAGGAAGAAGAAGGGAAAAGGAATAAAAAGGGAAAAGAAAAGGAAAGGAATAAAAATGGGGAAATTAAAAAAAAAAAAAGACCATGGCCGTACGAACCAGGGGGGGGGGGCAGTTGACCCCAGATATTTTGAAAACGTACAGTTTTTTTCCTGAAAATGTAGTGTAGGCCTATACCAAATCCTTCAATTCTACTTTTGAAAATGCAAAAGTACCCTCATGACCAGTTCGGTCGCTCGAACTCCCTTCACTCCTTTTGCTTTTGAGATTCTTCGAAAACTTTTAACGCATCTTTCCCCATCCCCCACCAGAAAAATATTCCGCATACGGCCCTGAAAAATTAAAACAAATGAAAATAGGAAAATATAAGTGATATAACAAATTCGAAACTCTTCGC